AATTTTGACATTCGGAATGTGGGCGCAGGTATTTTTCTCGGATGTGTGTAGCTTTGATGGCAGTGCGAATTCGTAGTCACCGTCATCCCCAAATTCACTGACGAATTTTGAAGAGCATACCTCAAGATCATTCAAGTTTTATCTATGGGGTATCCATTAGACAGCAGGCGAAGTGTTAAGCTCGAATAAAAATTATTAAAAGAACTTTGAAATCCTATCTTGTATTTCATAAGCAAGCAGCCAACAAACAAAATAAGCAAGAAACTTAAAGAAACGACAACTTGAATAGTGCTAGCAACGGTCTCAAGACTAGGCAGACAGAATAATATTTATATTCTATTTATTTATTGTATTTATGTAAAAGTCCACGTGTGTCTGTATTTTCTCGATAGAAATTTGAAACGGCTGAACCGATTTCGATGTAATTTACAGTAAGTCTTCAGATTGGCATGGCGGGTAATCCTGTGAAGTTTGGTAGGGATCGATCGGTCTTTAGTCAATCGGACACCACAGCGGGCCGGGTTTGACCACTACTTTATATTAAAGAATCGTGCAAACAAGATCAGAGTCAACCTGCTGTTATTCAATGAAGTTGTTCTATTAATTTAACTATCATCTTTAATTAAGGACAAGATAGATGGAAACCTTTCTCTTATTTCCAGCTCTGTGGCAAAAGATTGGTACGGAAAAGTAGGGGTTTAACCTTATGTAGCTCCTTATTAAAAGGTAATAAATTCGTACCTCGTGGTGGTAACACTTTTGCCACCGATCGTTATAGCTAGAAAGACGATGCGGCCTTAGTAGACAGGCAGACTAGATACTAACCATACAATGTAAATAGCACTGCTCACTTCAGACAAGAGTTCGGGAATAACTTCAATTTAATTGAAAAATATTTCCCGCTATCAACCGGTTCTCCGAATATCAAAACCGTAAATTGGGTAATAAATTCCCAAAAACGTAAGCATACCATTAAGAATTAATAATTCCTGAACGCAGCTCATAAACAAATCTTGGGTTCGGCTTCGTGCACACGACCGACATTAAACTCGATTTATGGCAGCACTAACTGAGGTATTGCTGGCGAGGGTTGCCAGGTATTTACATCCCTCATTAACCTTATATTAGAATGTTACCTGGTTGAATGAAGATAACTATTAGTGTACATCTTACATTTACAATGTTAATTGCATTCTTGGCACTCTGCATCATTCATTTGTACCAGTTATTGAAAAGCTAGCAGGTTAGGTATTAAATATAAAAAAAGACCGTGTGGAGTCATTGGGCATAGACAGGGAGAAATCCATGTTTTAATGTTCCATGCCGAGTATTAGGAAGAATTTTTGAGACTCTCATATTCTTTATAAGGCCGCCGATATATTTTTTTAAATATCACATTCAACGTGTTACTGACAGCTGACATTAACACATTAGCTGCCGACGAAATGATATAAAATTATTAGCCAGAAACCAATTATTTTTATAGCGTATATTGATTAAGTATATATGTATGTTTAAAAATATGGATGAAAGTATGTTAATAATATTATTATTTTAATAAAAAAACACCTTTTTCGGATCCGAGTGGTCGGCACATAGCACGCCAAATGCCGGACACTCGGATCCGAAAAAGGTGTTTTCTCGGATCGGAGTACAATCAAAAGTATCAAAAACATCATAATTATAAGTTTAAGTTTAAAATATAACACGCACTTGAATGGTTATTTATTTAAGAAGGTATAAATATCTTAAATCTGAGCAAAGTAGGTAACGATATAATCATAATTATAAGCTTAAGTTTAAAATATAACACGCACTTAATGGTTATTTATTTAAGAAGGCATAAATGTCTTAAATCTAAGCGAAGCAATGATATAATCATAATTATCAATACAATCAAACGTATAAAAATCATAATTATAAGTTTAATTAAAACACTGAAGGTGATTTCTTCACAGAAAAGTTAAAACAAAATTTTTCGTCGTCTTTGCGGCAGATGACCTTGAAGACTGAGCTGGTGGTCCACGGCTGAGCGTTTTCAGTTTCAGTCTTGTATCAAAGATACTGTCATCACTGCCGCAACTAGATTCCTCTGAACTTGAAGACAACTGCTCCTCCTGAGCTCGTTGCGAACACACTTCTTCATCACTAAATCCTTCAGAACCTTCCGAGTCATCACTCAACCAACGTTTTTTTCTACTACTAGGTGTTGATGTTTTCGATCTATGTTTACTTCTAGATGGCCCAGCCCTACTATCCATTTTGATCGAACAATACCTTTAATATGATCGTGTGTACCAGTCACTATTAAACTGTAAATATAAAACCAATACGTATTTTCGTAAGTCGAATGTATTGGCAGAGTGGCCACGCAAACCAACGTACACTCGCCACAATCGCCGGCGGCTTCTGACAACTACAAAATTCACTTGCTGCTCACTCGTATCCGAGTGGGCGGCACCGCTAATAGGGCCCCTCCCCACTCGGATACGAGTGGTAAGCACTCAATGTGTTAAGATATTCATGTCGTTGACTGAATACTCATCTACCCCATGAGGGTTACCTTGTGAAATTTCGAATATATGCTATAGTTTATTTCTGAATTTTGAGGCATTTCGTTAAAATCTATATATACATATTTATTGTTTTATTTAAAATGTTCACTAGTTTGTAGCAGTCAGAATAACACTACAGATGAAATATGTGTAAGAAGTCGAATATAAATAAAAATAATATTATAATTTTAATATAACCTCTTTTTTGTGGCCGTATGTCGCAATGAAAGCGAGGGAACAGAAAGCCTTTGAGCCTCGGATAGGTCGAGGGAACTATTCCTCCTATCAGGTCCTAATCTATCCTAACCTATCAGATCGACCTGATAAGAATGAATCAAAGAAAGGACAATGAACGAATGATATATGTACTTAGAAGTACATTTCAATATGTATGTGCTGGAATAGTTTAATATTAGAAGGCACACAGAAAGACAACGATGGGTAACCAAATCTTAAAATTGAAAAGCATAGTTTGACGATAAGAAATATACAAAGAATCGTAACATGTATCGTAAAGTTAAAGGTTGAAGGCAGAAATGGTCCACATTACTACGGTTTCCGTAGCGTCACCGAGTAATCGTATTACTAAAATGTGCTTAGAATCACGTGGATTGATAAATCTATAATAATTTTACGTTTGCGAGAATAGCTGATAATATACGGCTGTTGTTTAGTGGTGTGGATTGAGAGAGGCCTATGTCCAGCAGTGTACGACTGTGGGCTGTTGATGATGATGATGATGATGATGATGAAGATGATGATGTTGTTTATAGGATAACATAGGATAGAAAGTCCCGGCCATCGGCTATATTAACTTTTTTAAATTTTTTTATTGCTTTGATGGTTGGACGAGCTCACAGCCCACTTGATGTTAAGTGGTTACTGGAGCCCATAGACATCTACAACGTAAATGCGCCACCCACCTTGAGATATAAGTGGTAAGGTCTCAGTATAGTTACAACGGCTGCCCTACCCTTCAAACCGAAACGCATTACTGCTTCACGGCAGAAATAGGCAGGGCGGTGTAACCTACCCGCGCGGACTCACAACAGGTCCTACCACCAGTAATTAAGCAAATTAAAATTTTGCGGGTTTCACTTTTATTACACGATGTTATTCCTTCACCGTGGAAGTCAATCGTGAACATTTGTTGTTTAACTAACTATTGTTGGTTGGTTGGGCGTTGCTGATCGTATCAAACCCATCTGATAGACAATCTTGGGACACATGATAAAGCATTTTCAGACGTGCCGAATACATTATAGTTTTCGTGGCCACGGATGACAAAGGTGTTACTCGTCGACACCGGAATGTTATGCTAACTGCTATAATCGTATATTATATACTTTATTATGTATACAACTCGAAAAAATCGAAGAAAACATTAAAAAAACAACAGTATTTATTTTTATAAATTAAGAAAGTAGATACCGCTTTAACTGTTGTAGTTTGCTGCCGCGTTTGGTGGTAAGAGGTTATTATAGACATCTACCGTAGACATGATTTTGAAGACCAAGTGACCCTGATTGTTAGTCGTTTAACAATCCTTCAGGCCGGGATGTATGATCGCTTGGCGGTAGAACAAGACAGACGAGTTTTTGTCTACGAAATTAACTAGTGGTAGGACCTCTTGTGAGTCCGCGCGGGTGGGTACCACGACCCTGCCTATTTCTGCCGTGAAGCAGTAATGCGTTTCGGTTTGAAGGGTGGGGCAGCCGTTGTAACTTACTTGAGACCTTAGAACTTATATCTCAAGGTGGGTGGCGCATTTACGTTGTGGATGTCTATGGGCTCCAGTAACCACTTAACACCAGGTGGGCTGTGAGCTCGTTCACACATCTAAGCAATAAAAGAAAAAAAAAATCTACGACATTCTACAACATTCTATGACAACGGCGGGAAGTTAATGTTTAATGATAAAGCAAGGATTATATTAGTGGTAATGTATGGCGTATAATCTAGACTATAAATGGAAACCGAACAACTATTAATTAATTAATTATTATACTAATTAATGAATTTCTAAAAACATATTAAATAATTTATTGTAATTAATTATATTTCAAAATTTCCAAGCAAACATTACAAAATTCCCGTGACCATTGAACACTAGGTGGGCTGTGAGCTCGTACATCCATATAAGCAATAAAAAAAAATCGGCTGACGTAATATAACTGTAACGCTAAGATTGACGCTTTGAAATTTTTGAAAAGTACGACTGAAAATTATGTTAAGTAGACAGTTACAGGTCAAACTAATTTAGGAAGCATTTAAAAAAAACATATAACTATTATATTTCGTTTAGCGGTTTTAATATCAAATCATTAATCTTTCACAAAACTAGTTGAGTTACAAGCGCCAACTTCAAATCCGCGTTTGTGTTTTGTAAAATGAACCTCTGTACGGTGTGTGGTTATAAATAGGATGTGTTCGTTTTTGTTCCAGTTACAAATAGAAGCTGCTGCAGGCGAGGGTCCGGGGCCGCCGGTGAACAACAACAGCGACGGTGCAGTGGCCAGCACGCCCCGAGACGACAACCACAACCCTGGACAGCCGCCCCCGGCCACAGCCCGCGCTGCACCACTCACGCCCGCCGGTCAGTACCGATTTCTTTACTAACACTTTCTTTTTCTTTTCCCAGTCAGACACTCTTGTCAGAGTGGTCGTGGTAGCGCTGACGATGTATTTGTAAACCGATTTGAATATATTTAAAAGGGTTGCGTTACGTTAATAAACAATTTTATATTACCATCCCGCTCTGTTTTCTGTTACTATATAATCATATCATATTCGACGCTTGAAAGGCAAACGTGACTAAGCGACAATGCGTGAACTTTACAGTAGACTAATTTAAAGTTGAAATACCTGAAAAAAGTTCTCTTTTAACGAATCTAGCTGTAGGATTGAAGTCATTTTAATAGACCTAGAAATATTTTTTTTTTGCGCATCGAATATGGTTATTGCCTATCATTTATGTACAAAGCAGTTATTGTCGCTTAGTCACGTTTGCCTTTCAAGCGTCGAATTATGCAATGCTGTACTTCTATATAGCATTGTAGGAAGTTCGTTGAGTTTCACTACAGGATGTGATACCCGGTCTATTCAACATTGAGAAGAAAACGTCGCACACTTAAAATATCCGGGCACAGGAAATTATATGAGATGAGAAATGGCTTAGACAGCGTTCTCTGTTTTATTGAAACGAAAGCTTGAAATGGAAGCCGGATCAAAAGCTCAAGACTGACTGACTGACCAATTCGGTGTTGCATTAGTTAGCGCTACTGACTGTTGTACCAAGGGTCATGGGTTCGATTCTCGCCTCGGGCAAACATTGATGTGATGATTGATGTTGTGATTGTGTGACGAACAAGTTTGTTTGCTCTTTGTCTGGGTGCTTATTATCTATATATGTATATATTTAAAAAACGTATATAAGTATATGTATGTATGTCAGTCTCTGGTAGCCATAGCACAGGGATTTTTAAATTGAGGTCGGATGACGTGCGTGATTTGTTCCCAGCTATTTATTAATAATATATTATTATTAAGACTATATTGGTCGCTGTGTACTTCATGTTTGACTGCTGTGCAGCTGTGTTAAGGCAGGCAGGAAATATCTTTGTTAAGGATTGGTAGTCAGAGTTTGGGTGGTCTTTTTTTCATATATATATTTCAGGTGTCAATAACACAGGAGAAAATCGTAGCTTAGTGTAGGGTAGGTAGAAAAATCCTCTTGTCTTGATGAAATCCAGTATTAAACACGTTTTCTTATTTTTATGGCTCAATATGGCACATCTCTCAAGCCTTTGAAATATGACACATCTATTTGGGTTCATTGAGTCGATCTATTGAACATAAATTAGGCAAAGAGTGCTCACTCGTGCGAACGGATCTCTTGATGATACACTTTTGTTTGCTATATCTTTAATTTTTAGTAACAAACAGAGGCTTGTTCGTTTCGGTCTAAAAATCAATTTGAATGAGCCCATCAATCATGTAATCACTTTTCGCCGAAATCTCACTTGACCTACTTATTAAAGCTGTATTGTATTGGTTTCTAAGGAAAATGAAGTATTTTTTTCTGCGTTTTCGTATAGAAAAAACTACGACCGATGTAATTTATCTATGGGAATGTTTTTACTGGTGGTAAGAACCCAAGGTAGATAGGTAGCTACCACCGCCCTGCCTATTTCTGCCGTGAAGCAGTAAGGCGTTTCGGTTTGAAGGGTGGGGCAGCCGTTGTAACGGAGGCCTTAGACCTCATATCTCAAGATGGGTGACGGCATTTACGTTATGGGCTCGGGTGACCACTTAATATCAGGTGGGCAGCGAGCTCGTCCACCCATCTATGCAATAAAAAAATTAAAGTGATGTCGTTCCTTGAGGATTTCTTTACGAATTTTTTTTATTATGAAAGATAATTGTTGTAACAGATTGTAGTTAATTTTCTTACTGTGTAGCAGTAGTATAATGTAGTAATTCTAGTAGTCCTAGGGTACTCCGCTGGCACATAGGACCCTGCCAAGTTGTCTCCACCTCACCCTGTCTGTGTAGCACAATAATCACTATCAATAAGTAGTTTATTGATCAGTAAATACCTAAATTTGCCCGAAATACCGAATCCGATAACTTTCAGATCTGACATCACCGTACAAAGTAATCAGAAATATAGTGTTACAAGAATAAATAAATAATAATTTACTGGTGGTAGGACCTCTTATGAGTCCGCACGGGTAGTTACCACCGCCTTGCCTATTTCTGCCGTGAAGCAGTAATGCGTTTCGGTTTGAAGGGTAAGGCAGCCGTTGTAACTATACTGATATCTTAGAACTTATATCTCAAGGTGGGTGGCGCATTTACGTTGTAAATGTCTATGGGCTCCAGTAACCACTTAACACCAGGTGGGCTGTGAGCTCGTCCACCTATGTAGGCAATAAAAATAAAAAATAAAAATCCGAAAAATAAGTAATTACATTCCTATAAATAAACAATTTTTTTTTCCATATCTCTAAGTTGTGAATCCTTTATTTACCCCTCTACGATCCTTTGTACAATTATTTTTAATATTTTTAATACGAAAAACAATTTGGTCTCATCAATTTCGCTGCGAAATACTTAGTTCTTATCCATAAAAACAGCATTTCATTCAACTAAGCGCCTTATCAAAAATACAACAACACAAAACTGTGCGCTGATCGTGTGTAACGCTCAGGCGTTAACAAAGGATACGAAATAAGCTATATACATATTTACAAATAAGGTATGTGGACTCCATAAAACAACTTTTATAATTAATCTAAGATTGTAAAAGAGCACTTTTGTGTAAGACGTTAGACAGTAGATGTTTTTTGTTTATTGCTCATATGGACGAGCTCACAACCCACCTGGTGTTAAGTGGTTATTGGAGCCCATAGACATCTGCAACGTAAATGCGCCACCCACCTTGAGATAAGAGTTCTAAGGTCTCTGTATTACTTACAACGGCTGCCCCACCCTTCAAACCGAAATGCATTACTGCTTCACGGCAGAAATAGGCGGGGTGGTGGTGCGTACGAACTCACAAGAGGTCCTACCACCAGATGTGGTAGAATTGGTGATTTTCATGAGGATCGGTGACTACTCACCTTCAATTGAGTACAGATTGTATAAGTCGTATGCTAGTTTGTCTATCGAAGTAATAAAAAAATGAAAAACATGGTGCTGTGCTTTGATAGGTTTCGAAAAATATTATTAAAATAAAGTGTACTAGATGATGACCGATTTTTTTTTTAATAACGCCATATTGTTGTGTCTTTAAAGCGGTTAGTTGCCCTCAATTAAGAAAAATATTATTATTATTCGCCAATAGATGTCGGGAAGAGTTGATTATTGAAAACACGAATAAAACAACATTTTCTGAAAATAAATCGTAGCTAGATCGATTTATCGCCCCCGAAATCCCCCGTATACTAATTTAGTATATTATTTATGAAAATCGTTGGAGCCGTTTCCGAGATTCAGATTGTATATATATATATATATATATATATATATATATACAAGAATTGCTCGTTTAAATGTATAATTAAAATATAAGATTAAACTAAGTTTTGTATTCGATTCTGTGTAGGAAGTTAAAGAGAGTTCCTTGAACAAGCCAATTATTGTACATGTTGATTCGTTGGCTTCCAATTCATTTAATAGTTTCATTCATTTATTTGAATAGTTCGGTGTTTCCATCCGAGGCTCAAACAATTAGACAACATTGCTCGGAAATTGTTAGTGTTCCGAAACTTCGCTGTCAGTTAATTATTTTGAATGGCAACTTTATACATTAGCGTTAGATAATTATTAGAGTAATGGAGTTTTGTATGAGTTCTCCATAAGTTTATAGCGTTATTTCAAGTAGCTACTTAGGTACAAAGAACCCAAGAAATGCAAAGCTTAATTATACATAGGCTTTAAATCAAAGTCTCATTTTCTAATAAATGTGTTTGAGCGTAAGCTGCGGCCCATTTTGTATTTATTGGTCTCGGGTGACCATGATGTCACAACTTGAGGTCGATTTAATTGCATTAATACTTACTTATTGGTTAGGATTGATGTGGCTACGATGCTAATATTTGCTTTGAGACCAAACTTGACTCTCGTTTATTTAAAGTTGTTTAGTGATTCATTGTTATAATTTAGCCATGCATTAAAATTCGATGGGAAAGTTATAGTAGGTACAATCACTAAAAACGTAATGCCTCAAACGCGTGTCTTAGTCAATCTAATCGGAACTTCTTAATTATTCATTCGGGAAGCTCTTTAGAATTAAGTACTTAATTATGCTGATTGAATAGTTTTTAAATGTCTTAAATCATCCTAACAAAGATTAGGTAATCAAGATAATCGGTATTCACCTCAACAACTTTTGTTTCACCACTTAGGATCTTACAATTACTTTTACTAGATTTGTCTTTCTTTCCTTAATGTAAAATTAAAAAACGATAAATCAATTCTAAATTTGTTGTTTAATGTAAATTCGGTAGTGAAATTTAGATTAATAAAATTTGAATACAGTTTGCGATCTTAAATTATTATAAAGATAATTATTGGTCAAATATAAAAGAAATGTTAAAAATCTTGAATTTGGCTATTTATAATTTAAAAAAAAACGTATAAATGTATGCTCTCGCAACACAAGTCTACCAAGTGAAAACTGTTCTCTGTTTGTTTGGTGAAAGACGGTAGGCAGCGGCTTGGCTCTGCCCTTGGCATTGCTGAAGTCCATGGGCGACGGTAACCACTCACCATCAGGTGGGCCGTATGCTCGTCTGCCTACAAAGGCAATAAATAAATAAAAGACAATATGGAAAATAGGTGAATTTCAGAAAATGGGTGTAATTAAAACAATCGGGAATATTTACAGCAAGCCTTACGCGCTGCTGGTATTAGTAATCTAACGCTTAAATAAAAATCTAATAAAAATTAACATTTCACAAAACTGTTCGTATTGCATAATTAAAAAGTGCACATACTGAAAAAGACGTAACGTGATTACGAAAAATAAAAAGCTTAATGTTTCACGATACAGACAGTTCGTGACAACATAAAAAGAAACTCTAAAAACGC